GGTGAACGGTTGAACAAATGGGGAGAAATCTGATATTTCTCCCCTTTTTTATACTCCAAAACACTGGTCCACAATACACCACACGACCTTTTTTTTTCGGGTTCGTTTTTGTCTCGAAACGATTAAGTTTTATCCTGGTTTAAGTTCAAAATATTTTTATTTTAACTTGTCCTCAAATTTTTTTTTAAATTTCAAAATTTTATTAAAAATTTTATTTTTGGGTCATCCGAGATTCGACCGCCTCGTAAAATACAAAAATTCGACTATCTCGGAATTCAATAAAATTTGACAGGGTAGTTAGATTTCGCAAGATGAATCCAATGGTGAGGTCCATTTTATTTTTTGAGTTCTAGAAAAATTCAAGTTTTTAACCCGTACTGTAACGATAAATTACCATTTTACCCCTTTTGTGACAAGTTCAAATTTACCCAGGTTTTACAGCGAGTCCCGAGGATGAAAAGGTGCCATGGAAAGCAAGAAAAACTCCTACTCGCCCAAGTGAAGACGAAGCACGTGCCCTCAATCCTTTCCTCCCACTGAAGGTCAGAGGTTTAGGGCATGTGGGACAAATGATGAACCCGAATTTGACTAGGTCAAACCCAATTTCAATAAACCAAGAAAGTCCAAAAAAGAGCCCAATCGGAACTGAATCAACCCATCAGGATGGAATCCAGAAAGAAATCAAGAAGCCAACACCCAAAACATGAAGGAGCCAACGTCCAAAGCAATTGGGGCGCTGCCCCAAGGGTCACCCAAGCCAAGCACTGCCCAAGGCCTGGGCACCGCCCAGGGCTAGCCCTCTGATCCTCTTTTGCCCTCTTGACTTTTGTTACTCCAATTCAAGTACAACCCACTCCAACTCAAGTGCAGGCTTAGGCTCAAATCCAACCTAGCTCAAAGTCCTCCTCCGACTGAATAAAAACACGAGGGAGAGAATATCGGGATATGCATGGAGATCAAATTCTACCATAATTGTAGTTACTAAATTGTAGTAACCGCCTCACTGCCTTACTCAACCTATATAATATAAGCCCTCTCCAAATAAAGGATATCGCCTAAAAAAAAAAACCTTTAGACACCTCTCTACACACATAGTCTCTCTCTCTCTCTCTCTCTCCAAGCATTGTAATACACCTGAAGTTACTCTCTCGTTTACATTATTTATCAATAAAGATTTTCAACCACCGCTGTCGTTTTCAAAAGTGGAGTAGTCATCCAGACCGAACCACTATAAATTTTGGTGTTGATTCCTTATTTATTGCTTTATCATTAATTGTCTATTTATTGCTCATTGAATGCACCCGTTCATATACTTGACTGTTGATTTTGGGCAATATTGATTTGTGCATCATCAGAGGTCATAGGGAAGAGAACCCACATATAATGTATAACTTCATTTGTAGATAAATCTATTGGCAATGATAGACAATATATAATAACAATATGTCCTTGCTTGACGATTGTTTGCTCATATTAGTCTAATACACTCCTCATGAAATGATTTTCTATTGAATTGGTTGATCTGCAAATCATAAGGACGCCATCATTAGCCTAGAAAAAAGAAGCAAAAGTAGTTGGGTGAGAGGATGCAAAAAAATTGGGTTTGATTAGTGTTGTTAAATTACATACATTGGAGCATAGATTTAGAAGTATAATTTGATTTGACTCTTTGTTTGGATAATATGAATATGGTGTTGTTCAGATGATGTAAGAGTTTTTAGGGTAGAGTAAGTCTCGATGCGTGTATTAAGATGCTTACTTCATTACTATAATGGTGTTGCAGTGGTTGGGAAATGGTTGTATGAGGAAATATACTTTTGTGATGGTAGTCCAATAAATTTGAGTATATAAAATTATATATACAAGTTGAGAATTTCTATCGAATTTTTTTAAAAAATAGTGGGGGCAGATTAATTGACAATTTTATTAATTAATGATTTATTATATTACGTAGTGCCTTTAACCACGGACATTAGTTAGTATATATATATGAGAGAGAACGTTTATATATATATAAAGACTTAAGTACTTAATATTTTTTTCTATATACTTTTTGACAATTAAGTCTAATATGGTATACCATTTCTAATTTCTCCAAACCCAATAATCAAAGTTAAGCCTTAACTATAAGGCCTAGACTAAGAATTAAACTGGGACTATGGTCCAAGGCTTCACAACATCACGAGGTCCATGGCCCAGTCCAATCTCAATTTTTCGTAAGCAGGCATGCCAGTGCTCGTCTCTTCTTCGATCTTCTGTGACCAGACCCAACTCTCCTTCGATTCGGCAACAGCGGTACCACTCTCTCTCTCTCTCTCTCTCTCTCCTTCGATTTCCTTTGCTGTAGAGGGAACATTCTCTTTCTCTTTCAGTGGGAATGAAATCAATCAATGAAGAGAGAGAACTTTGAAGAGGAAGAAGAAGTAGAGAGATGGGAGTTCTTTTCCATCTTTTGGGTTGAAATTCGATTATCAAGGGCAGCAACTCTTGATGAATAACTTTATCCACGATTCTATATATATATATATATATATATATATATATATATATATATATATATCTGTTGATCATCTGCGAAGTAGGGTTTTGTTGGGGTTAATTGTTCTTGTTTGCCCATTTCAGAGTCGATCTAATTTCTTTTGGCAGTGCAGAAACTGAATCAGAACGTCGTCGTATTACGGAGGCTGCATTTACACAACCATAGAGAGAGAGCCATGTCGTTTATGAGAGGTGATTTGCTTACGAGAACGAGAAAGCTCGTGAAGGGTTTAGCAAAGTCCGAGCCTGTTTGGCTCAAAGCTATGGAACAGTATGTATCAATTATTATTATTATTTTTGAATATTTTCAGTTCTTTCCCCCAATTACATGAATGTTTTATTTACCCTCGACTTACCCAATTGTCCATTCCTAGTTCTAATGTCCGAAATTAATTTTAGAATTTTGAGATTTTTTTTTATGGTAGGTATGATAGTTTTGGTGAATTTCTTGCCTACAACGCTTTGATTGTTTAATTCAGGGCTCCACCGGTGTCATTTCCTCGTGCGGAGAACAAAATTAAGCCAATTAGTCTTCCTGAGGATGTTTATATAAAGAAGTTCTTTCAGAAGCATCCGGATTCTAAGCATGAAGATGCTATCAAGTACTTTCCTACATACATTTCTCTATCAAGTACTTTCCTACATACATTTCTCTGTGAAGCATTCCATATTTGTCTCTTATCTAGTTTATTGGACCAAGCTTGTGGAAGATGTCATATTTACTTGAATTTTGTTTTACTGATGGGATTTTCTGTGGAAGAAGAGTTTTGAATGCATTTTGCAATATTTGCTTGGATTTTTGTTGTCAACTATATATGATTTGTAATAGTGCACTATAAATGTTTAGGTAGATATATGTGTGGGTGAAGTTCGGTGTCCCTTACTTACAAGCTCAGTTTTATTTTGCTGTTTGAGGGAAATGAAGATAATGCATTCATGAAACATAAATACCATGGTATCACATAACTTGTGCCTTTGCCTGATGGGAAAGGTGGGTGTAATTAGGAATGGTGGTAGGTTCGAATATGATGATGGGGAGTGGACTAAGGACTACAATTCTCATCATCAACTGGGAAGAATAGGAGAAAAACTAGCGATACAAATTTTATTTGAGAAGTCTGTGAAAACCAGTTTCTAATTCACTTCTTCATGATTTGAAGTGGTACTGCTTATTATGGTAAGTTGAACTTGTGTATCCTGAGCATATGTATTATCCAATGAGCAATGCTATTGGGACCTAATTTACTGACATAATTTGCTGACCTAATTCACTATGACATTTGGATTGATTGTGAATTCCATTAAATATTGAAACTTGGTGTTTAATCCAATGGTTCCAATGAAATCACGTCATTAGGTCAGCAAATTATTTCAAATTTTTAGGTCCAAATAGCTTTTTCCTTATCCAATTACTGATATATGGGTTTGAATGGGGAACTTTTCATATACTTTACTTTGAGTCAGATTAGTCAACGAGGAACTATCGTTGATCTACAAACACCTATGCAGCTGCTTAGATAGAGAGATCTGAAGATTGAGATTCAGTTGACTTGTGGCTATCTTCTTTACTTTTTCATTGAAAATGAAAGACATGTGAAATGAGAAAGATTCTAAAAAGCAGTATGAAATTCCCTGTAACATAGGAGCATGGGAGGTGAGGAAGTGGCTCAGTGGTAAGGGCTCACTCTCACTCGCAGGTGGTTGCGAGTCCCAACCTCATCCCCTCTCTTTCCCCCCATCTTCCAACATAAAAAATATAGGTGCATTGCAAATATAACTAAAGATAGCATTACAACCCCAATAAATATAATCGTCTTAGTCTTGGATGTCTTTCATTTTTATTGCTCTTTTGTGTCAATGATTGCCAAGATTTGTGTCCACTATATGAAGAGTAACTTGTCAGTGTCCCTGAAAATCTCTCCCCCCCTCCCCCACCAAAAAAAACCACGTACGCTTGTGTGTAGATGGTGCGGAATACCATACTTTGACATTATGTGGGTGTTATGTGGGCTTTTTTTTTAGTGATAGTTATTTTGAATGGTGAAAGTTGCATGACTTTTCAAACAGATTTATAGATGATAAATTGATGTAAATCTGTAGCGTTAATGCCTCGATATCTTTAAAACAAGTTAGCATTGAAGCTGTTGAGTTGAGACTCTGCTTGTGTAATAGGTGCTTTATGGTTGAGAATTAAGATTGTCTTGCGATCCTTGTGGCAATATATCAATTTGGAATTTGAAGTAAAGTTCTAATCTGTCATTAGATTCACTTTGCTAATGTTCCAACAGGATTTCCGGATTTGATCCCCCTCCAGCCCGTATGTTTGGTTGGCGAGTGCTGGAGTTAAAGGAGCAGGGAGTGAGTGAGGAGGCGGCTATGGCTGTTGCTGATGTATGTGTTTCATTTCTGATTCACTCATCTCTGCAACACAGCTTTTTAATTGTTTCTTATGACCATATTTTTTTTTCTACTACTTCCATAGATGGAGTATTGGGCTGAGAGAAAAGCCAAAAAGAAGGCATATGTTCGGTTGAAGCAAATTGCACGGCTTCAAGGAAAGAAACCCCCTCCAAATCCATATCCTAGTGCCATCAAAGAGATACAGGCTGAAGAGAGGAAGTTTGTTCGTGATCGTTTCTACGATCCCAAGATACTCAAAATTGTACAGAAGATGAAAGAAGAGAAGGCAGCTGAGATACAAGATAGAATGAGGGGTGGTTCCTGGTAAAATGGCTTGCCATTTTGAACCTAGTGTCATTTTTGCTCTTTGAACTCAAATTTCTAGTGATGGTTTTAGTCAATTGACCATTGGATATCTTCAACATGGATTTTTTTTTGAGGAGATTTTCAATGCAAGGCTCAGATCAGGTGACTAGAAATGAAGTATATGCCAACTATTCTGAATAAATCATGTTTACTAGTTTTACTGATTTAGACTCGAGTATATTTTTTGTTTTTCTTTTGTACTAAATTGTGTTTTCATATACCCCTCGTTCTTAGGTAATGTCTAGAATTATATTTGAAATAGTATCTTGGTCTAATGATAAATTGGAGACATTGTGGAGCAGAGAAAGGGTTAAACCCCATCACATCATTTATCAAGCGGAAGATTGTACTTTTTTGGAAATGCTTTTGAAGTTTGGCAGGTAACTTTGATGTTGCAAAGCTGCCCGATACTACATAGTAGTATCGTCGGAGAACAGTTGGGTGATTTTTTCCCCAGCTACAGAGACTTTTTGACAACTGCTTCCTTCTGAAATGGAACCCTGGAGTCAAGATACAGGTGAAGCTGCTTTAGTAACTGTCATTGCCACAATGTTAGAACATGTCTCTTGGTGTATGCATTGTCCTGATTTCATTGTTCTAATCATGTCTCGTAATTATGTAGCATTGTATCTTCGTTGTGTGGAAAGAATGTCTGTTTGAAAAAAAAGCAGAAAGAAAGATCCGATCACCCCATCTACTGTGATCGATAAAAGCTGCTCCCAAGCAATTTGACAGTTTAATTTCTGCGTTGGTGGATTCTCTGAATGCTTACTCGAAGGATGAGAAACCTTGTGACTTCTTACCAATTAGATTGTTCAACGTTTTAAAGACATGCTAGTAAGAATTATGCATGTTCTGTTTCATATGAATCATTTTTCGGGTCAAATCTATCTGCTGATGAGTGCATATGAATGTTAGAAGACGGCATTGTTATTCAGAGGACTTATAATGAGGACGTTAATAAGAAGGTCCATTGAGGATCGACCCTCCATTACTCATGTTAAAGCAAAAGACAAAATTGTACTCTTGAGGCTCTTTTGCACATCATTCTCTTACAATAAAGATAATCAGTGTTTTAAAACCCGTCTGGCCTGACGGGTTGACCCGATGAACCGGTCCCTTAACCGGGCCGGTTTTGTAATTGGATCGTTTGAATAAAGAACCCGGAATAAAACTGGTGAACCGGTCAAAAAATCGGTAACCTGTGAAAACTGGACGGGTTTATAAAATCGGCCGGTTTTGTTCTTTTAGTATAAATATATCTTTTTTTACATTTTTGTGTCTTTTTCTTTTTCTTTTCCATTTTTGTGTCTTTTATAAATATGTCTTGTCTTTTTTACATTTTTACATTTTTTTTTACACTTATGAATATTTGTATTGGTTTGTTAATTGAATACAATTAAGTGATTCAGACTTGATAACTTTGTTTGATTTAATATATATTAAATATGTTATTTTTATAATTACTTTAATTTTTTAGTCTATTTATCATCATTAATAATTATTTTTTATTTTTTTATTATATCACCGATTCGACCAGTGACCCAGTGGTTGAACTAAAACCCCATTGATCCGGTCCCTTCTCCGGGTTGATGTCCGGGCCGGGTTTTAAAACTATGCAGATAATCACACGCTTGACTAACAATCGCTCGTGAGTATTTTTTTTATTAGCACGAGATTGGATGTTAATAATGACAGACAGAACATATAATCTAAGACAATCCCCGGAGGTGCCTAATTTATGGATCAAAGTTTCCATTGACACTTTTCAGCCAACTCAACAGGACGTGTGAGTCATTGTGCCTGTTTGAAGACTTGGCATGTGATGTAAACAAGTATTTTGAGAAGATAAAAATACCCTTGTGACTCTTTCAAAGTCTAAAAATGCGATAACTTAACCTGAATCAGAACCAAATTCGGACCCTTTTTTTTCTTTTTTTGGGAGGGAGAAATGAGCCCTTATCACATTGCATCTTCTTCTTTACCTGCTACTAATCTCTTACATGTATGTAGTGTTTCTCCTTCATCTGCTACCAATGTTATCAGAACTGGACCGATCATTGAATCGGTTAAAGGATTGGATCAATGGTTCACTGGTTCAACCAGTGAGTCACTAGTCGGACCGGCTATATAATAAAAAAAAATATATAATAATTATAAATCATAATAATTTAGCTAAAAAATATAAAATATGTCCAATTCACAATCCTACAATCTCAATTAAAAACCTACAATTTCAATTCACAATCTCAACACGTGTAATTCTAAGAAAATGCCAAGGGTATTTAAGTACGATAGCCAACGTTTTCTTTCTACTGATTTTCCACCATCCTAAAACCCATTTCACAACACACACACACACAGTGACACATATCACTCTTCACTTCCCAAAGCCCTAACAATGGCGGTGAATGGCACTTCAAACACCCTCCAGGTCCAAAGAATCCCGCAATCCAAATACACAGACGCCCTCCGTTTTCTCCCTTCAAACGGAGGGCGTCTATGTATTTGGATTGCGGGATTCTTTGGACCTGGAGGGTGTTTGAAGTGCCATTCACCGCCATTGTTAGGGCTTTGGGAAGTGAAGAGTGATATGTGTCACTGTGTGTGTGTGTTGTGAAATGGGTTTTAGGATGGTGGAAAATTAGCAGAAAGAAAACGTTGGCTATCGTACTTAAATACCCTTAGCATTTTCTTAGAATTACACTCGTGTTGAGACCACTATTATTGATGTTATTGTGATATTATTGCCTATTTGTGATCTATTAAGATTGTGAATTGAAATTGTAGGTTTTTAATTGAGATCGTAGGATTGTGAATTGGACATATTTTATATTTTTTAGCTAAATTATTATGATTTATAATTATTATATATATATTTTTATTAAATGACCGGTTTAACTAATGATTCACCGGTTGAACCAGTGAACCATTGATCCAGTCCCTTAACCGGTTCAATGACTGGTCCGATTCTGATAACATTGTCTGCTACTAATCTCTCACATACACACACAAAGATGCACTTACACAGATGCTTGCGCATGCGAGTGCACACACACTACACTTGGGTTCGATTTCAATCAGATCCAAGATAGAGAAAAATGTTGAGCATATATAAGTGTGGTTTGAGTAGATTTGATAGTAAGTAAGGTGGCCGTGAAGGCAAGTGTTGTGGTCCAAAGGGGTCGGTTTCAAGAGTTGTGGCTTTGAATGCTATATTGGTGATGATACAAGGGGCTTTGAGGTGGCAACAATGGTTGACTTGGTTGTGTGTGTGTTTAGATTGGGATTGGGGGTGCGGGTCATCGATGAATAGTGATTGTGAGGAGGGTGGGAGGGAGGGGAGGGATTGTCGGGGTCGGGTTGGTGGTGAGTGGTCTAGCGAAGAAAAAGATAAAAAATAGAATATCACAATAATTGTACTCCATACTTAACGGTGTTAACATAATATAACAACCTTACAAAATTATATATATATATATATATATATATATATATATATATATATATATATATATATATATATATATATTTCTAGACAAGAGAAAAGCGTATCACGTGATAAAGTGGATGATCGATTACTATATTACTGTTTCTCACATCAAGTTGAATGGTCATTTTAGTCTTTAACCTTGAAGAGCCACTTTGATTTTGAGCAGTGATACCTTTCTTGAGTGCCAAGAACGGAATCGGCTTTTCCTTTTCATCCTTGGTAAAGACTAAAGTACATTCCTTTGTTTTTTTTTTTGCCCCTGTATTCAACATTTCTCCTGTAACTTAGGCAGAAATTTTTTTTTTAGTCTATATTTATCAAAACTTTATATTTTTTAACCCGCTACGTGAAAACAAATTTACTTGATATTTGTCGTGATGTTGGACTTTAAAATTTCGAGTCGTTTCATATTTTCAAATAATCCTAATTAATAGTTTAAGTGGTAATAAAAACGAATTATAAATTCAGATGTCTGAGTTTGAATTATGACAATTTCTTGTAATCATGTCATATCCTTCATGAATATTCTAATATTGGCATGAATTAGAGCTGATAATTAAATTGAACTTTGTGAACTTAGACTGAGCTTGTCGAATTTGTTTTTTTTTAAAAGTCTAAAAAATTATTTAAACTCGACTCATTTACAAAATAAGTAAACTATCAAATTTGAGTCAGAGTTAGACTAACTTAATTATTTAACATATAATCGAGCCGAACCTTTTAGCATTGTGTTGTTTTTGAGCTAAGTCTTATACAAACCGAAACCGAGTACTTGGACTTAATTATCAGTCTTAGCATATACAATCTGCCTTTAATCGGGAAGAGATCGATCGAGGCGTCCCTAACCCCTCATAAGTAGCAGATAACACAACATTTTTCATCAATCGACTTCTTTTGCTCTTCCAAATTGTAAGTACCAAAATTTTTACCCCTCTCTCTACACACCTTCCAGAGGCGTCAGTTTCTTAACCCTCTAAATCTCTTGCTTGTCACCTCTTCGGCCATGGAAACTGCGTTAACAGCTTCAATCACTGGCAGCAAGACCATTAACGCCCTTGCAACTCCCTCCACCAAGAGATTAACTAACCCAACTACCTTACTCCCAATATGGCCTCTCAAGAGGCCGGTCATTCTCGATCTTTATCCTTGTAACAGCTTTCTCAGTCCAAAACCTCGGCTTAGATTCAAAAACATTGAGCTCTTCCTCATCCATTGCTCCACAAAACCAAATACTGATAAAGACAATGCTATGGACCAAAATTCAACAAGTGAGCGGAACCCAAAATCAAATATTCAAAAACCAGCAACACCCACTTCAAATCAAGCGCTCTCTTCCTCAAATTCATCTTTTTCTAGGGGTTTGGTGTTTGATTTAGGCCCAAAGAATTCTTGGGACAGTGTTGAAATTGGGTCACCTGTAGTGAAAAGGTTCCTCGGTGATGAGGAGGAGAGGTGGTACATGTGGTACC